TATTTAAAACAACAGTAACATCTGCCGTGTAGAATTAAGTAGCAGTATAGACGAAAGACACTAAATACAGTACAGGCACTGTGCGATGCATCACACTAGACTCTTTATAGATTCGCAACTGAAAAAGATTTCATTAGAAAAAAGGATTTTTGAAATGGCCCTTCGATGTCATATTTCAATTCATTTTTGCAAAGACATAGGAGGAGAATCTTCCCCAGTGATCACGGCTGGATTTGGTATTTCAGAACACTTGGAACACTCCCCACCTAACTACAGCCTGCCCTGCCCCAAGTACACCCTTCTCATTTTCTAGCATATCTCTGGAGTAACATCTGTTAGGGAATGGTCTGTTGTACAGTACAATACCAGTAAGTCCACTAATTTCACACATATCATTTTGTATTCAAGGAGAATCATCTAGAACTCAGCAAGTTATACAACCAGGAACTTGTCCCAGACTAAGCTGAGCTAGCAGCTCCGTGCTGATTGGATCACCCACACCAGTTTTACCAATTTTAAAAACCCTGAAGATGAGCTTTATAAATGGGACTCTTTATCTTTGGACTGAATCAACAGAGAACTTCATCTGAGAGGCTGGGGGCAGGCAAATCACTCAGATCACAGTATATGATTCTCTTTTACATCTCCCTTTGCATTTCATATATTCATTTTACATTCAGGGAATTTGTATGACCTTGAGCAAGGTACTTAACTACTCAGGGCCTCAATATCCAGATCTGTTAAATGTCTGTCATAGAGTCCCCAGGCTCTATAACACCTGGGGGCACCTGGTAGAAAGAATTTTTATGAGGATTTCATGAAATAATTGAACAATAGTACTTAGAATGGTGCCTGGTATATAGGAACATTCGATAACTCTTAGCTACAGTTAAGATTGTTTTGTCTCCTTGAGAAAAAGAGGCTCCTATAGCCTGTATCTGTCCATCAGTATGTAAGTCATTTGTTTCACTATATTTTTTTTTTTTCAAGACAGCGTCTCACTCTGTTGCCCAGGCTAGAGTGTCGTGGCATCAGCCTAGCTCACAGCAACCTCAAACTCCTGGGCTCAAGCGATCGATCCTTCTGCCTCAGCCTCCCGAGTAGCTGGGACTACAGGCATGCGCCACCATGTCTGGCTAATTTTTTTTTCCGATGTATTTTTAGTTGTCCAGCTAATTTCTTTTCTATTTTAGTAGAGATGGGATCTTGCTCTTGCTCAGGCTGGTCTCAAACTCCTGAGCTCAAACAATCCACCCGCCTCGGCCTCCCAGAGTGTTAGGATTACAGGCATGAGCCACCACCCCCAGACTTGTTTCACCATATTAAATAACTAAATATACTAGCAGGCTGTGGTGATGGAGAAAGAAGATAAACCTTAGGCCTCCTTAAATGACTTGTTGAGGGAAGCAGATTGATGAAAAGAAGAAAGACTTGATAGTTAGAAGACAAGAATTCTTACTGGACAACTAACTCATTGTGTGATCTTGAACAGTCTTCTTACCTCTCTTTCATCTCTAAATTGAGGTTAAAAAATGTCTACTACATAGGATCTTAAAAAGATTAACTGAGATAATCCAAATATCTATGTTAAACTTGCAGTACAGACTAGCTACTTTCTTGGTATTAGATATAAATTTATTTTCATAAACATTAATCAAAAGTCAGAGCACAGAAACAACATTTAGGGCAGATTGCTTATGGGATTTTCTGGCTATCTACTCTCCCTGATATTAAGAGATCTACCCCTAGACCAAGCCAGATCATCAGAGAAATTTATACCTAAATACCTAAATACACTAAATCCTATTGTTCCTCCTGCAGAAAACCCAATATCAAATTACACTAGAGTATGTTGCCAACAGACCATGTTGATCATCCTCACAAGAGTAAGCCCTATAAGTCTTATTATTTGCATTATAAGGAGGCTGCCAAGGACAATTTTTCATTATCTCCACAATGAACTCTTTATTAATCCTCCAGGAAAAAGCTCTGTCTGGGTTTAGGAGTAAAAATGGTAGTACTTGTCCTGAGTATTAGAAGCCGTAGGCTTCCAATATAGATTTATTGTTTAGATTTAGTGGGAAAAAATCAAGAATGCATTCCTACATTCACTCAAAATATATACTGAGCACCTACTACGTGCCAGACTCTCCACTGGGATCCAGAAATGCAACAATAAAGAAGACAGGAAATATCTCTGTCTTCACAGACCTAGAGACCAGAGGGAATGAATAGATGATCAAACAACAATAATACAAATATATATTACATAATACGCTGATATAAAGTGAGCCAGAAAAAGGTTCTGGGTAACTAGATAAGATCTGGTACCTTCTTGGGTGGACAGAGAGATTTGAATAAAGCCAAGTTTTGACCAAGAGAAGAATAGAAGGACCCTAGAAGAAAAATGCACACTTCTGTGGAAATCAGGGGAAGACACAGGTGAGGAAAAGACTAAAAGTAGGTGGATGTAGAGAGAAACTAAGAATGGTCTACCTGAAGTGGTCTACCTTGGTCACAATAACAATCTGTTTGAATAGAATTATATTGTGTACAGTGTTCATACCTATATGTAAATCATTTCAAGGGCTCCTAAGGAAACTGGCCTGACTTTGTGACTCTAAATCACTAAACAGAAGAAGGTATCAAAAGGAGAACAAAGAAACACCTGGTATCGTTTGAGATATAATCGTTGGGATTTAACTCATCCCATTGAGTCATATCAATATGACCTTCTTGGTCTCATTCCACCTCCATGCATATATGAATGGAGAGAGAAATACCCAGGCCATATTGGGAGTATAATCCCCTCCTTCAAATTGAATCTATTCTCAAAGACAATGGAAATTCGGAGCATAGAATTAAATATCTAAGAGAAATCCTGGTAACAAAAAGTTTAATTGAACAGTGAGGAGACCTGGGTTTTAGTCATAGTCCTGTCACATAAGGCAATGACATATGAGACTTGGAGTCCATGTGAGTAACTCAATGAACTTGGTGTAGTAATAATAATAGCCAATGTTTATTGAAAGTTTCTCTTGTGCTAAGTATTGGTTCTAAGTGTGTTTCATGTATTAACTAAAAACAACCTCATGAGGTAGGCAGCTTTGTCATTTTATAGCTGGGGAAACTGAAGCATAAAGAGATATTGCAACATTTCTAGGTCATATGGCTGGTAAGTTCAAACCCAGGCAGTTCAGCTCCAGGCCCAGGCTCCTCTTCACAGCTTTATTCTCCCAACTTCCATCCAGGAGCATCCAGGAAAGGCTCAAAGGATGTATCAGAGAACCCTTTCTCAGGATATACTTGAGAGTTCACCTTTTCTTCTCCGGGGCCTTTATGACATGAAAATGAATGGCGATATAGCATAACGAGGGTGAGCCCATGCCCTGCTTTGCCCAGCACAGCCTTGCAGTATGCCTGTTGTCCCAACGCCTGCCAGCATCTCCTTCACTCCAGAGTGTTCCAGTTTGGATAATAAAGTAGATACTCACCTGAATCCAGTGGTTAAGAGGTTATGTTCTGAAGTTTGTTGTGCTTACGTCCGAAACCCAGCTTAGCCATTTACCAGCTGTGGGAGTTGAGGCCAATTACTTTGCCTAAATAAACCCCAATTTTCTCATTTAATAAATGGAAATAATAATAGCACCCACCTTATAGCATTGTTGTGAGAACTACAGGAGTCAAACGCATATATGAACTATATGAAACAAGTAGTATTAATATGATCCTTATCAAACAGTGAGTACTCAACAAAAATTAGTTTTACCAACATTAGATTGAATGCTTGAGAGGCTTCCTCACATTGGCATCACTGTGGTCATCTGAGACATCAAAACACACCCATGAATATGGAGCACTAAGACATGAACCAGGATAAGTAAAGAATGTCCTATTTTTCTAAGTAAATCACTGGCACCTCAAGGAGTATCCATTCTAAGACTAAATTATAATATTAATATAATGCTAAAGACACTGGAAATGCAATTTGGTTCTCAGCCACTACCAAGGGTTTTTTACTCCATTCCATTCCAGCCTCCCTGGGAACCTCACTGAAAAGCTAAATTTTATGGTAACAGGGAGAAAGGGAGTATCTTTTAGGTTTATAATCTCTTTGGGGTACGTTTTAGCCTCTTGGGCCAGACTTTATTCATATCTGTAACTTCTGAGATCTTTCTGCATTCAAACACAAGCCACTGACTCGATGGACTTTGTGCTAAAACCCTGGAGCAGCCTTAATATTCAGGGACTATCCTTTCTACAGCATGAACATGAACACAAACCAATCCCTTCTTCTGCAACTGCAGTAACTGGCCACATAGCCCAGAATCTGCCAAAACGTTTGTCACCCAAGAAGAGCATCTTGGAAACCAGGCTCAGTGAACCATAGTTGTGGCTAGTTGGTATATATACTGAACAAATCACCTCTCTTTGTCTTGTTCCCTTTATTTGCTAAATGAAGTGGTTAAATGCATTGTTAAAAACAAACAAACAAAATACAAGAGGTTGAGTCTAACACAATCTAGCTCTGGGCCCCTCAAGATGATTCCTTCTGCTCAAGAAAGATAACCTACTTCCCCTTTACTTTTAGAAACTTCCAAAGAATGAAATTCTATTTCCTCTCATAGTGACTAGTTAATAGTAGCCTGTCAGCATGTTCTTCGCCTCCACCCAACTTCCTCTCCTCATCCTGAAAATTGCCGTTGGCTTTAATTAGATTTAATAAGCCACTGGGAAGTGCGAGGGAAACGGAGAGCAAAGATCACACAGTACGGGCTTACTCTTGCACGTCCAGGACAGTGTTTCCCTGGAACTCTCATATCCTCCCAGGCTGGGAAAATAAAGAATGTCAAGCGTATGGAAAGACATTCTACTGCTGCTGCTGTCCAAATGTGAAACGTGGGTGGAGGAAAATGATTTAGAAAAAGAGAGTAAGGGAAAAGAGAAAATGAACCCGAATTCCCAACAGCTGCAAATAACAAAGCCTGTGAATCTGTTACCTTGGATGAACTCTGATTTTCTGCTCACAGACGGCAGGGTCCTGTTGATCCCCAGGATCCTGTCTAGGTGGAAGGCAAACACCTCACTCATGTCCAAAGGCTGCTTGAGCAGCCCACAGGGGCTGGGGCCGCAGCGGGGCGCGGAGCCAGGTGCGCTCCCCTCCAGCACGAGCAGGCGGGCTCCGCTCTTAGAGGACACCTGCCGGAGGCCTGCCACTTCGCTGTCCGCCAAGAGCCTCATTTTTCGGATGTCATCTTTGCTCAGCCAGGAGGGGGCGCTCTCGCTGTAGATCCTAATGTTGCTCTCCTTGGCCTGGGGCTGCAGGAAGTCTGAGCCTCCTGCGCGCACTCCTGGACCCCACACCAACCTCCAGGGTCGCTCTCCCACCTTGGCCAGGTTTCCTCCCTGGGCGAACACAGGCACTGCAACATCAGCTGCCCTTGCAGATTCCTGCGGCTGAAGGGATGGTCCAACCAAGGCCGCCTGTCCTGGGGCGGCAGAGGCCACTGCATACTTTTTCCTGCGCTTCGGTCTCACGGTGCCACGGATATTGGCAGGCTTGCTGCGCTTGGAGCGCAAGGTAATGTACACCACATTGGGCTGCAGGGTGGTCCCATTGCCCTGGGACTCGGGAGGGGCCAGAGTACCATCGAGAGGTATCTCAGGGTAGGGTGCCTCGGCGGTGTCACGGCTCCCGTGTGGCCCCTTTTCAGCTGCCTGTCCGTGCTGGATAGAGGACCTCCCCACCTGGCTCACCAGGAAGCCCAGGTAGATGGCGCAGGCTGTGCCCAGCAGGAGATTTCTCCTGGTCCTCGGACGCCGGCTGCTCCAGAGTTTACGTACCCGCGGGATGCACAGGGAGCAGATGAACCAGTTTATGAGTTGCCCTGGCTTGTCTGGACAGGTCATTTCTCTGCCGCATCCACATGTTGAACAGAGTTTAAAGTCTGCAGTTGGCTCCTGCTGACATGATGCATGGTTTCCTGACTTCAGCCGCCGCGTCTGCTTCGGTATCTAAGTGGTCTTCCGGGGGTAGAGGTGGAAAGAAAAGGTTGGCGATGGAGTTGGGAATGCCACAACAAACCTTTTAAACTATCAGCCTCCCCAAGGAGAAATGTGGCTTGTTTCTGGGAATGAATGGAAACAGAGTTAACTGAGTCACAATCTCAAATCATTTCAGTTCCTCTACAAGAGTAAAGAAAAAAGTAACCCTTTCCTTTCATAAATATCACTACTAAATGTTAAAAAATAAAACCAAACTTAAAAAATGGAAATAAGATAGATGTATAGATTTGATATTCAGTTTAAAGTAGTGAAAGCAAGCCACAAAAATCCAAGAATATTTTGTAAGTTGTAGCTAGAGTCATTTAAGTTGATTCTGAAGCAAAAGCATTAAAATATGACAAACCTGGGCTTTTTCCCTTTTGAAATTTAGAAATAACTTACGACGAATAATAGGTGGTTTTTAAAAATCTATAATATCCCATATTTATCTTTAAAAGTCCTGCATTAACTAATTGGGCAGAAGCACCAAGTATTAACATTCGAATTCAGAAACATATCCTCTTAATTAAATAGTACAAATTTTTCTTTATATGTTCCATTATCTTACATTAAGTGTTAGTATAATATAAAGCTATAAATGCCCATATATCTTGGAAGCAGTTACATTTATTCAGTCACACACACACACACAAACAATACAAATCCGACTGCTTTTTATTCCTTTTTTCTTTTCTACCGAAGTCAGCTGAAAGAAAATAAAAGCCTCTCTGGCTCTCTTTTTTCACTATTAAAAAGAAAAGGAAGAAACTCATAAGCAACCTTACTTACACAGCTGGCCCCATGCTTGGCTCCAGGAAGAATGTAATCCCTGACTCTAATGCAAAGAACTTTTAAAGGCTGAGGCATGTAAGTAGAACATATTTCATGGTCAAGAGTGTTCCACATTTCAAACATTTCAGTTCAGCTTTAAAAGCTCCCTTGAAAACTACTGATTGCAAAGCAAAATGGTTACTTGTAAACTGGCTACTGTACAGTTTTAAGATATATAAGGTTTTTAAAAAAAAAAATAGTTAAAAAAATAAACTTTAATTTTAAATTCTGAAAGAAAAAAAAAATGCCGTGCAGAATCGGTTTTCATTCAAATAACTTTCCACTTATTTTTAACCCCTGGGAGCCCTCTAGTGTCCCGTTTGCAAACAGACTCAGAAATGTCAGTCACATGAAGTTAAAAAGGATTGAGAGTGTTTGCTTAGCTTGGAGGAGCAGCAGCAGCAGCCGAATAAATAACTTGTAAAATCAGGAATGCCATCACCTGTGGAGTGTCTGTCACACCTAGCTCGCGCTTAGAGCACCAGCGTTCCCGGGAACTACTCACCTTACCATCTTGGCAGTTTACAGAGTAACATTTGTCTCCCACCAGTTCTGAGAAGTCCTAAAAGTTTGGAAAAAAAGGTAAGAATGGGTTAATACAAATGAGGGAAAAAATAGAACAGTGAGATAAGAGTGCACATAGATAGAGAAAGACATTTATAGTGTGCAGTTCCACAGTGCAACAGTTCTCAAAAAGAAGTCGTGGATTCTCTCTGATTGGAGGTTTTTTAAAAAACAGGTTAGTGATTGGCCTAGGTAGTTTGCCTGTCCTAGCACAAAGGCAGGAACTGATGACCTTGGGGTCTCACTTAGGCTTATTCTACTTGCTTCTATGGCAAATAGAACCAAAAGGCAAGAAGGCAGAAAGAGGGCAGGGATTTTTTTCCCCCACTGGGAAAAAAGGTTGTGATACCAAAGAGTGAGTAAGAGATTAGTGTATGATTTATAATCCTAAAAATACTACATTTTACAATGCAAAAAGAGCAAGAAATTAGAATATATATAGGACAGAATAAACTTCCAAGTGGTAAAATGCCAAAAAGTATAATAGGACTGTTATTTCAGTGCTGAATCCTTTCTTCCTCTTTAAAAGTCCTGCAACATGAAGGAAAGAGAAGGAGAAATCCCAGTACTGACAGTACCCTAAAAGTACCTGGAGGTTTTGGCTAAACTTCATGAGAATTCAGGCATCAAAGTAATTTTCTTTGTGCTCCAAAACCCAAAGCACACACTTCCATTTAAGCACCATTACTTTCTAGATCGTAAATGTGAGCCTCTTGAAAGGAAACCATGGCAGAGCTCCCTTTTATAACCATCTTACTATTTTCACATAGTCAAAAAAATAACTGACCTGGCTCTTTAGAAATTAAAATTAAGTCTTTGGCAGAGGCGAGGTTATAATTAGCAGAAGCCTCCTCTAGCTGTTTTTAAAACAACTTTTTTAGTAGAGAAATACCTAGGAAGTCCATAAGAGTTGTGTGAGTTAGTAAATTTAATTACCCCCCACCTCCATTCTGAGAATGTCTCTTTATTAGAAAAAAGACCAATCGATACATTGTCTCCTCGTATAGCCACAGTAGGGATTAGTGGAGGATGCAGAGTATGATGTTCAGAGAATGGGCTGCAGAGAAAGCCTGGCTTTGAGTTCTCATTCACCTCTTAGGTGTGGTCCGCTGTGGCAGGTAATCTTAACTACACCTCAGTTTCCCCCATCTGTAAGAGAAGAATAATACTAGCACTTACCCCAGCAGTTTCTTGTGATGGAATGACAGTTTCAAATATCTGGCAATGTGCTTGTTTTCATCCCCCTAAATAACTTACAGAACCTGTAAGAGGCCCTTTCCCCAGCACAAGCCCAGACAGAGAGTCACCACTGCTCCACAGCAAAGCTATCATGGTAGAATCGAGGACCAGAACATTGAATTATTGGTGTAGCTGATGTATTGGTGTAACCATTAGAGTAGATAATGAGCAGGGCTCATCGGAAGTAATCAGAAAACGATTTTAATCGTCCCCCTCCCCTGTCTGTTCAAAGCTGTTCTGCGGCCTGGTAGCTCTTTTCAACTCCCTCGAATAAAAATTCAGGCAGGCCCGTGACTTTTCTAGTCATAATTAGATCTTTCAAAAAGTTCTCTAGTCATTGTCAGTCATAGATACACACACACATACATACACATAAACTAATTAAAATGTTTGATTCCATATTACAGTCAAAATGTTTTAAATTTCCTTTTAAAAAATTTCCCTGCATTTCTCCAGAAGCTAGCTGCCTCTCAGAAAGCATAGCCAAATCTACTGAAAGGGGAGGGAGGGGATCCATCCAGGATTCTTTTTCTTTTTTTTCTTTCTAGAGCTTCTATTCCTCAAACACCCACCCACCCATTCACCCCACTTTGAGTCTGGGTCCAGCTATTCCAGGGGTAAAGGGTAGTGGAGAGAGAGAAGTGGTAGCAACAGAAACACTCTTGCTGCTCTGCCGACAGTGTTGCAAATTGCCTTATCAGCTCCTTGGGCTTGGCGGGTGTGTAAAGCTGACCCTCTGATGAGCATTTTGCTGTCATTTCAAAGATCCCACTACCGAAGCATCTCTCTGGCTGGCTGTTGATGACCCCTCAGTCCCTTGGAACGTAGCAGCTGTTCCTCGGCTCCTCAAGCCGTTCCCTGGACAGCATTTAAGATGACCAGCAGACTGGCTTTCTCACCTGGGCCTGCGTGTATTGCCCCAGACGGGTCCAATGGACGGAGTCATCATCCTTTGTCCCAACAACCACAGGCTCCCCAGTGCCACAGTCCACTCCCCTCATTTTGGAACGTGGAAGCCATTGCCATCCATTGCTCACGGTCTCTGCTGAAACCTCTGTTGAACAGAGGTTTGAAAGATGTTTTCTGCCATCAGGTAGCATGGAAATCAAGAGAAGTCTAATTTAGCTTTAGAAAAATAAAGCTAAATTCCTTGAATGAGTGATGGTTTAAAAATTTGTTGCCACAATACAACATTCACTTATCACTTACAATGTAACCTGTGAGTGCACATATAGAACTCAAAATACTCATTATTATAATTAATATTATTAGACCAGAGACTAATAATCCTCATGCCTAAAATATTTTCTCTCCATTAAAAGAAAAATCCCTGAAGGAAATAAAGTGAAAAAGTAGACAATAAGACAATATATGGCCCATTAGAATTACCTGGGGACCTTTTTATACCTTTCTGGAGGGGGAAAGAGCAGTGACAGAGAAGCAATGTGAGCGGGAACAGGGACCATGGCAGTGTTCTATTTCTTCACTTAGATGGCACTTACAAAAGTATGTTCATTTTGAAATAATTCATGGACTATCCATTTGTGATTCGTGTACTTTTCCATATTATATATATCTTATCCTTCAAGGAAATTGAAAAAGGCAGTGGGTAAACAGGTATTTGTGTTATATTCCTTACACCTGCATGTGTTATAAATCTGTATAGAAGAAGAGTAGGGCAGTAATGACTTCTTCACATCTGTGTTTATTTACAATGAAGAATTCATATTACTTTAGTCAATTAAAAATTAAATTTAAAAATTAAAGAACAACAAAATCACTGAACATTTTAAAAGTATATGGACGCCTGGGCCCCATCCATCTTCCCAGACACCCTAATTTTATTGATCTGGAGTGGAGCCCGGGGATCCAGAGTTTTAAAAACGTCTAACATGGAGGGTTATGATTCACTGTTGTAGGAGTTCAATGGCTAGTTCTAGAAGCAAATTAACACCTTTTTACAGTTAAATGGTAAGTCTTAGGTTTTGCTGACAGTGAAATAATCTGCAAATCCTTCCAGGCTTCCCATCATAAGATCCCAGTGTGGCAAAGGCTGTTTTGCCTTCAGTCTGGGACAGGTCCAGGACCAGATTAGACAGAGAATAGGGCCCCGAATTTCCCACCCACAGCACTGTCATATACCCATGCCTGTCAAGTGTGTCACTTGCTGCAACTGTATAAGCAGCTCACCCAACCCCTGAGAGCCCTTTGGAAAGGGAAGAAGAATATATTATGTAAGGATCCAGCCTCTGAAAAACTAAATATTAAGCTTTTCCTTGCTGTTGTTGACCCATGCTTGTTGCACAGATTGCAGACCTACAGATGGCACCTTGTTCCTTGTTCTGCGCTGACCAGACCCTTCCACTCCTCTGTCCCTTGCTCCCTGCCTTCCTGACCTCTAGGACCTATAGCCCTTCTAGAACTGGAATCCTGGCTTTAGCCTAGATTCTTGGGGACAGCCGCTATCCTCCTTATCATGGAATTTGCTAATACTTTTGTTGTCCATTTTAACACCAGGCCTGGACAACACCAAGCTGTCCCTGTCCTGCCACCAAAAAATTTTTAGCTTTGGAAATTTTGTCATAAAAATGTTTATTTGGCAGCAAGGAGTTTGTAGTTCTTTAAATAGTGCTCTATGTTTTATCTGTCTTTTAAACTGTATGCAAGTTATTAATACATTTACTGTGTTACATTTCATAAAAATATGTGCACTTTTATCTGACATTTGACTGCTAACCCCTAAGGACATCTTTCCTGTTGACCTATGCACTACATCTACTTTAAGTAGAAGAAGCTCTTTTGGAAAAAAATCACCTGTCTCCTCAGAGCCAGTCTTACAAATTTATGAAGCAGCACTGAGTGCCATGGCTTACTCTCTCGTGTATGGCCAAGAGAGCACCAAATAGTCCTTTTTCCAGCAGATGTAATGCCTGGCATTTCATTGTACTGGGTGTTCCCTCCTGTATTGACTATTATACCTAGTTAAAAGCAACGTGAGCACCTCTGCCTTTTCCTAGTATGTAAATCTCCAGCAATAATCCATTTTGCTTCATTTCCCTAAGAATGTTTGTTCCATTTTTTAAAGTAGTGTTTGTGTTGAGCTGGTTCTGCCTCATGACCAGAAACTGAGCAATGTTTGCCTGAACAGACGATAATATTATAAACAGATAAAATGTATGATAGCCAATTTGACGTGTTCGAAATGATAAATATTCATAAGGTTGCTATTCCATTGCTTAATAATTAGATGATTTATGCATATTAGAATAATTAACATTTGTTTATAGTTCAAAAACCCAATAATTCATGGAGTTATCATGGAGTAAAAGAAGTAGGTGAATTAGAGGCTACCCTGAGTTTCTTCAAAAAGCTCACTGACAATCTAGACAACTAAGCTTCTCTATTTCAGAAGTGGGCACTGAAGGGAGGCCTCAATACTCTGTCCCCTGCCTCTACCCTCAGGCCACACACATAGAGGAGAGACCAGTACAGACATGCTAGCCCTAGGTCATTCTTAGCTTAGCAGAACAACCCAGGCAGCAGTAGTTTTCTGCCTTTGTAGAGGAGTAAAGATTGGATAAAGCTACCTCAATCCTTGGGGTCCTTGCAGGAAACTAGTGCAGAGCTACAAATTATCTCTTCTCTCCTCCTCTAAGGTATAGTTTATGTGAAAGACAATAAGCTGCAGAGTACGTTTAAAGGAAGGAAGGCCCCCCTGGCTGCACTAGATTAAATTTAGAACATTGGAATTGCATTGGGATCATAAATAAACACTTTTGAAAGTGCAGGAGAAGAGGGTAGAGAGAAATTTGGAATCCTTTAAACATTTATATCTGATAGTTTTGAGACT